GCAAGGGGCGAGCGGTTCAGGGGCCGTGCGTTCAAAGATATGACGTCGTGGGGGAGGGTGGAGCGAGGAAACCAGAGGAGAAGGGAGAGGACAGGGAGGGGCTCCACCCTCACCCTCCTCCCCCTCATCATCAGCAGCAGCATCAGCATCATCACCATCATCACCAGAGTCAATCATCCATCATCGCCATCACCACCACAAACATCACCAGCATCAACATCAGCAGCATCAACATCATCCTCATCATCATCACCATCAGCATCATCATCACCATCATCAGCAGCATCACCATCACGTTCAACATCGTTCTGAACCTCATCCTCTTCTACATCGTTATCACCATAGTTATCCGAATCGTAGTCATAGCCATTCATAACAACAGCAGCATCATCCTCATCGGCAGAATCATCATCAACAACAGCATCAGAATCGGCATCGTCGTCATCATCATCATCATCAGCATCATCAGCATCATCAGCATCATCATCATCATCATCATCATCATCATGATCATCATCATCATCATCATTATTATCACCATCATCATCATCAACCACCTCAGCATCACCATCGTCAGCATCAGCACCAGAACCATCATCACCATTACCATCATCACCAGCATCATCATCACCATCGTCATCATCAGCAGCATCATCACCATTATCACAGTCGTCATCATTTTCAACATCATCCTCCCCTTCATCCTTATCATAATTTTCAGAGTCAACATAATCATAATCACAGTCATCCTCAGCATCAACATCATCATCAGCAGCATCATAAACAGCATCATCGTCATCGTCATCATCACAAGCAGCAGCATCAGCAGCATCATAATCGTCATCGGCATCGTCGTCATCATGTTTCGCACCATCATCATCAACAGCATCCACATCACCATCGTCAGCATCAGCATCATCACCACCATCATCATTACCAGCATAATCAGCATATGATCATCATCAGCAGCAGCAGCATCATCGTCATCGTCATCGTCATCGTCATCGTCGTCTTCATCAGCATCATCATCATCAGCTCCCTCCCCTTCTCGATGAGGAGGGGGGATAGCGGGACAGGTGGAGCAGGAGTGGCGCGGGGCAGGAAGGGAGGATGGAAGGGGCAGTGGGGCGGGGAGAGCGGGAAGGCAAGGCTCGGACTCGGGTTCGGAATTATCGGTTGAGGATCGTGGATTTGGAGCAGCTGAGGAGCCCTGAGGAGCCCCTTGGAAGCCCCCCGGGACTCCGGGGACCTCTGGGAACCTCTGGGGGAACGGTATGTGAAGACCTCCCCCTCCGACTCCACCGCTGCACAATTGCATAGCAACATGAATGTTAGTCCTCCCTCTCTACCCTGATCTTGCTTCAGCGTGCTCCCACCGCTTTCGCGGAGCAGCTTTCCGCACACGGGATGTCAAACGTTATTTCCGCATCGTCGCTATCGACAGGAACCAGTGGATGCGAGGCTTGTGCCGGCCAGCCTTCCTCTGGTGGTTTGGTATTGTGTCTTCACTGTCTGCGACATGGCTTTCCTCGGGTGGCCTGGTCGTGTGTTCGTGTCGTTGTTGAAGAGGCCTCCCTCGGGTTGCTGGGTACTGATTCCTTCCTGCTTGTGAAATGACCTTCCTCGGTTTGCTTCGTCTTGCTTCCTTGTTGTTCTTGCAGAGGCCTCCCTCGGGTGTTTGTTCGTCTTGTTTCCTTACTGCATTCCTCGGGCTTATTGGTCTCCCTTCCTAGCAATGCGCCAAGCAACGCCACGCAATGCCAGGCAATGCCGAACAACGCCAAGCAATGCCAAGTTGTGCCAAGCAACGCCAAGCAGCGCCATGCGATGCGAAGCAACGCCAAACAATGCCAGGCAACGACAAGCAATGCCAAGCAGCGCCTAGCAGTGCCAAAAAGTGCCTAACGCCAAGCAATGCAAGGCAATGCAAAGCCGAGCACGGCCGAGCAGTGCCGAGCAGTACCTAGCAACGCCAAGCAATGCCAAGCACTGCCGCGCAACGCCAAGCAATGCCAATCAACGCCAAGCAATGCCAAGCAACGCCAAGCAATGCCAAGCAACGCCAAGCAATGCCAAGCAACGCCAAGCAGTGCCAAGCGATGCGAAGCAACGCCAAACAATGCTAGGCAACGCCAAGCAGCGCCCAGCAAGGCCAAGAAGTGCCGAACGCCGAGCAATGCAAAACCGAGCAGCGCCAAGCAACGCCAAGCAATGCCGAGCAATGACAAGCAACGCCAAGCAATGCCAAGCAACGCCAAGCTATGCCAAGCAATACCAAGCAAAGCCTAGCAATGCGAAGCAACGACAAGTAACGTCAAGTAACGCCAAGCAATGCGAAGCAACGACAAGTAACGCCAAGCAGTGCCAAGTCACGCTAAGTAAGGAGAGCAATGCGATGCCAAGCATTACCAAGCAAGGCCAAGCAAGGCCAAGCAATGCCAAGCGATGCCAAGCAATGCCGCTTAGGAAGCGTTCCCCTAGCTGGGGTCACGCCAGGCTCGTGTTTGTCGATCGGAACGCCGCTGGTCCTGCAAAAGTGATGCCTTCGCTGCAGCGTCTGCCAGATGTCAGGATCGAGGCCCTGCTCCCGACGTGCTGAATGACGCTCTCGCCACAGCGTGGGCTACCTTGTTGGATCCGTGTAGTTCCTCGTCGTTGCCGCCCCGACTCTGATGCCTCGTCCGCCATCTGCTGATCATCCTGCTCGTCCTGCTCCTCCTCCTTGCCGATGGATGAGCTGCTCCTCCTCCTCCTTGCCGAGGATCCTTTGAGGTGCTCCTCCTCCTCCTCTTCCTCCTGGTCCCGCCTCCTCATCCTTCCCGATCCTGGCACCTGACTCGGTTGGCACGCTCGTCCTCCTCCTTCCCGCGCAGCCTCTGCTTGGCCAAAGCCTGCAGATGCCATTCGGGCATCAAGGTCCTCTGGGATACCCCAGTCGGCGGAGAGAACACAAATTCTCAGGAGGGGATGGGTCAGAGGGGTATGATGTCAGATGTGTCGCAGGCGCACCTAGCTTGTCCTTCCCCTCTTCCCCCTCCTCCTCCTCCTCCTCCTCCTCCTCCTCCTCCTCCTCCTCCTCCTCCTCCTCCTCTTCTTCCTCCTCCTCCCCCTCTTCCTCCTGCTCCTCCCTCACCCTCCCCCCGGAGGTCTCAGGCGGTGCCTGGAGGCCCCTGGAGGCTTCCAGAAGCCGCTCGAGGCCCCAGAAAGTCGCCCACGAACGAACAAAGAGCTTTCCAGACATCCTCCAACACGAATGTTTGCTCCATCCGTGGCCAAAGACAGACGAGGCCCTCGAGGCGGTGCACCCACCCCGCCCCGCGCGCGCGAGCAGCACGCGCACCCCTTGTGCCAGCGATGCAGGTGGCAGTGTCGGGTGCGCGGGCCGCCGAGGAGGCGAGCTCCAGCGAGGAGCTGATGCCCGCCTCGGAGCGCCACCCCCGGGAGCCCGCGGCGTGGCGGCGCGGCCGGTTCACGGCCGCCGCGGCGGTGGCGCTGCTGTGCGCGGCCGCGTGCGCCGGCTATGCCACATCTCGCGGTGCGCTCGGTGCTCGTGCAGCCCGCGAGGCCACGGGGACGGGCCTCGTTTCCGCCACGGAGGCCGGATCAAACAGTTCGCACGGCAAGCACCGGAAGTCGGGCGCGCACGGTGGCAAGGCCGATAGGCACGGCGCCGAGGCCGACGAGATGATCAAACAGCTGGGCGACGACGACGACGACTCCGGCTGGGTCTGGGCAGAGAAGGTTGCCGACGGCGAGGACGACAAGGCGGAGACGGGATACGTTCCGACATTCGCCATCCAGATGATCCCCGCGGGGAGCAGCAAGGATGCCGTGAAGCCCAACGCAAAGCAGGAGAAGAAGCACGGCAAGCACGACGATTAGGCAACGTGAGACGGACGCGCCGACGGAGTGGCGGGGAGAGACCCTCCATGCTGCTTCCATTTTCCTTGCCCCGTGCAACAGGTAGTCGCGTCATTGCTAGCTGCCTACGTCTTGCAGGTATCACATGTTGCGTCCGCTCACGCCCTTCTTGGAGGCTGTGCCTCAGGCACTACGTCATGGGCAGAATTCGGTGCATCTGTTCCGCAACTGCGCAGCCCTGAATTCCGATGATTAGGAGTTCAAATATACCAGGAATCTTCCTCCTCCTCCTTCGCCTCTCCCTCCGCATCCTCATTGTGGGGGCTCGCGTGGACCAAAGTGGCCGCGCGGCTCGTTTAAGGTCACGTCGCAGCGAGCAGTATGGACCTCGCCGACGCCGCAGTCCGCGTCGAGGCAGGCACCCGCCCGCAGATGTGCCCTGGCCTCGTGCCGCCCCGCTGCGCCCCAGGAAACGAGACGCTTCGCATCCGCTGCCCGCCAGAGCCTTGGCATCGCTCGGACGTGTGCATGCTTTCTCGGCGAGGACCATCCTGGACCACCGAGCACAAAAAACACGCACGACACCGAAAAAGGCACGGGAAATGGACGTCCGAGCGACGGCAAGGAGCTCCCGACCCCTGCCCCGAGGAGGGCCTTTTGTCTTCCGCCCCGGGTCCGCTCCCGGTGACCCCCCCGGGGCCCGAGGACGGCCCCCAAGGAGGCCGAGGTCGAGGAGGGGCGTTGGGGTCGAACGAATCACCTTGGCATCGCTCGGACGCGTGCATTCTTTCTCGGCGAGGGGCATCGAGGAGCACCTCTGATCATTTAGCGAAAAAAACACGCACGACATCGAAAAATGCACGGGGAATGGACGTCCGAGCGATGGCGAGTCACACCGTCGGAGGTCTGGGATCGCGCCTCGCTCCCCACGGTCAGAAGTGAGGAGGAAAAACAGCACCCCGACTCCACACTTTGGCGTGTGCGAAGCGGCCCTGGGCGTGCGCTTCAGCAGCCCCGTCCTGCTCGACTCCTCTCCTCCCTTTCCTTGGGGCGCGCTTCCTCCGCGGCGCCGCCTGCCGGGGTGCCCATCGTGAGGGTGGTTTTCTTCTGCTCTCCACGCGCGGCCGGGCGCCCGCGAGATGAAGCAGTGCGAGCACAGGGCGAAGAAGAGGGAGCGCGCGCTCCGGGCCGAGAGGGGCCGGCTGGTCGGCAGGTGCGTGGTGCAGCAGGCGCCTGCGACTCGGCGCCGCGTGCGGCGGCTGGCTGCCGGGAGGGGAGGGGGCGGAGGGAGTGGGGGGAGGGAGGGGTGGAGGGAGGGAGGAGGAGGAGGAAGGATGGGGGAGGGAGGGAGGGCGAGAAGGGGGGGAGGGAGACGGAGGTAGAAACTGAACGGAGGGAATGAGGGAGGAGCCAGGTCGGAGCATGAGGCGCCAGGAGGATGAGAAGCAAAGACGGCAGATGATGGGGAGGAGGATTATTGTCTCCCCTTCTCCTAACCTCCTCCTCCTCCTCCTCCTCCTCTCCTCCTCCCCTCCTCCTCCTCCTCCTCCTCTTGCTCCTCCTCCTCCTCCTCCTCCTCCTCCTCCTCCTCCTCCTCATCATCATCATCAGCATCATCATCATCATCACGCAGCCAAGGAGTATACACTGCAGGGCCCCAGTGGAACCCCGAGCCCTTTCCGATCATTCCGATTGTTGTTTGCGGCTTCTCCTGTTCGTGTGCGGCGTCTGATGCAATCCATGTGTGACAACGCTTGCTCGCCAGATGACCCGGTATATTGTTGGGATTCTGAGCTGGTCGGTTTGGAAGCCGAAGTCCTCGACAGGATCGACATCCTTGAGGCCTCAGCTCGCAAAGCTTACCTCGGACGTGCGGGCCCGCCTCGATATGAGTGGAAAGCTGCCAAGGAGCCACGGTACAGTGAGCCGTCTGACCTCAATGCCTGGAAGACGTTGTCTCACTGGTTACGCTACGTCAGGTCTGCTCGGACGAAGTTGCTGTCGCAGGTGGCCAGCCTCCACGACGCGAACTTCGAAGCTAACCTCCTGGCCATGTCCCAGCAGCTGTATTTCCTCCATGGCTTCTCGCGCAGGGCGTCCAGGGCTACATGGGTGCTGGAACGGGTCTCGGCCGACGCCCGTGCGTTTATGACCGACGTGCCGTCGAGCACTATCGACCACAGCTTTAACAGCGTGGTTCAAGCCTTGATTGACTGCGCGAACACCAAGATTCAGGATCTCTTGATCCAGTCCAGTGCTGATTGGACTGTTTGGGTAGAGAAGTCCTTCCTTCTCGGCTCAAGGAGCTCCAGGAGATGGCTGCTGACACTACGAGGCCGCAACCCTTTCAACGAGCTGATGACTGTCTTGGCGATTGGGAGAAGATTTGGGATATGCACCAGTGTTCGGAGCTACGGCTACCGCACGGCGCACAACTTGCCACCGATCTCCGTGAGCGACATCAGGTCAGCGGCTGCCCCGTTCCCGACCAGGACGGCGCCGAGTCCGCCTGCGTTAAGCCCGAAGTCGCTGTGCCAGGTGTCCGACGTGGGCTTGGAGGCCCTTGCGTCCCTCTTCATGGCATGTGAGAGGCTGCACTCCCCCGTTTCCTCCCCCATCTCTGGTTAATTCAAGCTTCGCGCGGCCCGCTTAGCTTCGACCGGAAGAGGTGCGCTCTCGACCCGCGGATCAAAAAATGTGAGAGGCTGCACTCGTGGCCGCTAGATGGCATTCAGACCCGCTTGGTTCGGCTTGGCAGGCCGGCAGGCGGGCACCGTCTCCTTGCGCCAGTCACCTCGCTGCTACGCTCGCGGGGCAAGCTCCGGAAGCTTGCCTCGCAGTCGCGGGAGCGATCGCACCACCACAAGGCCTTTTTAGGGCCGCGGCCCTAGAGCGAGCTCCTCGGACGCTGCATCCGATCACGATGTGGGGGCGGAGGTGGCGACGCCGGTGGGTGAATATTGTGTCAGCTTTTTCTTGATATGTTTATGCGCTACGAGCGCATTATGGCTGCAAAGCATGCAGCGGAGGCGCGCGAGCTAGAATGTCCCTTGAGAGTGATTTGGATGCTCCTCTCGTTGTATCGGTGTCCTCGTCTGGTGCAGGCCTACGGTTCGGTGTCTCGGTCCGTTGTCTCTCACCACGGCACATTAGTTGGCTGCAGCCACGCCAAACCATGATGCATATGTTGCTGCACCGTGTGGTCAGCAAGATGAGCAGGATATATAGGACTGTGCAGCCGCGTCTTCTCAAGGACGATTCTAGTTTCGAGTGGGTAGGCAAACGACTCAGTGAGTGCGACGTGCTGCTGGCCGCGGCATGTTGGCACTGCGAGCAAGTTTTGAATCTCGGGCTGATCCTGAAAATACTCAAGAGAGGGTTTTGTGGCTACCGCTGCCACAGCGTCGTCGAAGGTGTCGTCGTCTGCTCGCACCCTCAAACTGCGCAGCTACACCGACGTGCGCAATCTGGGCCCTGAAGTTTTCTCTGGAAGACCCGAGCGGGCCCAGGAGAGAGCTGGGCTGCTGAAGGCCATGCGCCGGCACCCCAAGCTTGCTGCTCTGCGCCGCGGGGCCCAAGGGAAGGTACAGATGCGCTGGAGGACTGGCTTGATGCCAGCAGCAGGCCACGGTGCGAGCGTAAATGGGCTGACAGGCCCATCTTTGAGGTCGCTTCGCACTCTAGCAGGAGCGCTTGTAGGCGCGTGCCGGTTGGGATCGCTCACAGCTTGGCTAGCGACTCAACCCGACTCCTTTCTCGACCTTGCATACGACGCCACGGCGCCCCTTGCGCAGCGCTACGCAGGTATGATTTGGGAAGCGAGATTCTCGTTAGGACGACTGCAGCGCGCTTGGATGTGCATCAGAGATAAGATCGCATAGCGACCTGCCTGGAATTCATGCCGTGGACCGATCAGCACCGCCCTCTTCTCGCTGAGACGGGTAGGTTGGTCGATTTCCGCGGCGCGCGTTATTATTTCAGACGAAGGCGTCGCCTGCGCCATTCTCCGTTGTTCGCCGCGCGATCTGAAGCTAGAGCTGCGGGTCGGAATCCAGCGCTGACAGGCCAAGTGCAGTTGAAAGCGTTTGCCCCAAGCCTCCGGCGCCGAGCGCGCGTGGACGCGTGGCTTGAGGCATGGATTCTTGAAGATCAAGGACCAGGAGGGAAAAAACACACACAGACACAATTAATCGTCGACCCCCAGGAAAATATGGGAAAATATGGGAAGTGGGGGGGAAGACAAAAACCCAGAAAATATGGGAAATTATGGGGATTCCTTTTATTTGTGTGTATTTATGTGTGTGTGTCCCAGGGCCCCTTCAAAGGATGCTGCTAGGAGAGGCGCCCTCAGATGCCTGATCGGGCACGCCATGCAGCCGCCACTTCGCAATGTTGGGGCTGGGCATGCCGACGGCGACACACGCACGTTCCGCGACAGAAATGTCGTCGGCCCTCGTGGCCACCAGGTATACGATTGCGATCCTGTGCTGAACTACCTAGGGACGCAAGATCAAGCCATCCCTGATGGCGTCCTGGAGCGCAGGTCTGAGCTGCGGGAGAAAGGGGTTGTGAGGCTGGAGTCCAGCACTGGGACACCCTCGAGGTTCTCTGCGGGCTCCCGCTGGAGGACATCTCCTTCCCCCCCGTTCCCGACGTGCTCCCCGTCTGTTCCCGGGGGGCGACCGAAGCGCCCCGTTGGCGGACCATCTACACTGACGGTTCGGGCCGAGCGGTTTGCGATCTGGAAGGCGCTTCGGGTCGGCCCCTTGGACGCATGTTGCTTCTGACCATCTCAGTGCTGCGCGCGAGGGCTGCTCGTGGAGCCTCAACGTGGCCTCGAGTGGCTCGAAGCACGCGCAGGCACGGAGAATGCTTTTCGGCCTGCATGGCGGTAGCGACCTGACCCCTACAGTCGGGGCCCTGAAGAAGGAACCCTTTTCGTTGGGGAGGGGCTCGATGTTCCTTCATTGTTCCACACCTTGCCTAAGGTTTCCCTTCTGTTTTCGATGGGAAGTCGAAGTTTAACTTATGAAAAAAGGGGCCTCGTTCCTTATTTAGGGTTCCTTAGGTCAACGCCTCGACTGTACCTTCGAGTGAACCCCCGCCCACCGTGCCTGGGACGACGCCGTTGCCGCGAACTCGTCGACTGATGTGACTGATGGGCCGACTGTTTCGCTGGGCTATGCTCCGAGTCTCGTGCTGTCGCGGACACTGTTGTGAGATGGCAGGCTGGAATACTTACGCATAACAGGCTCACTGTTGGTTTCTTGGCGAGGTTCTCGCAGGCCATCGCCGGTGAGGCCCAGGAGCTCTCGCCCCGTTCTGGATCGCCCGTGCGACCGACCCCAGGCAGGCAGAGTAAGAACACCCGGGCACTGACGGAACACTCGGTGTTCCATTTCCCTGCGCTCGGTGAGTGGCGTTGCAGTGCGTGCAACATCTTCGCTAAGATTCTTGCGCCCCTTGCCCGGCTGCAGACAGGTAGCAGGCGCGCGCGTGGACCCTCGGCCTTCCAGAGGTGGAAAGCGATTGCGATGTTTGTCGATCGAGATGGTGAGAGGTTTCCTGTGTCTTCGGGGACGGTGCCTGTGGCCTTGGAGGCTGCTGACGGGGTCCTGGGGCCCGAGCTGGACGACGGCCAGGCACCGCCCTCGGCTGTGCTTCAAGAACGCGTCGGTTCCCTGGGCCATGAGATGGAGCAGTCTGGACGTGTGCTGTTCTGTACCCCGTGCTCAGCTTTCCCGGGTTGGCTCAACGGGAATGTGCGGGGCCTTGGCGACGGATGCAAAGGCCGCTCAGAGCACCCGTCAACCCGAAGCTCCCAAGCCACCAAAATCAAACATGCGGCTCGGGGGCTCCGTCCCAAGACGGGCAGGTCTCTCGACCCGGTCTGAATTCTGTGGTGGATGGGGGGGGCACTGGCTTGCCCCATGGCACGCGGCCTCTGCGAAGCCGTGCCGCGGGGCGAAGAACATCCGATGGGCCCCCTTCCGACCTCAATCTTGCGTGTGCCGCCCTCGGCCGCACGAGAGCGACGACCGCTTCGGTGGCGTGCTTAGCTGTCTTCCTTGATGTAGTTTTGCGGTCCCGACCCGCGGTTCCGCCAGGCTGTCCGCCTCTTCCTCCTCCTCATCCTCCTCCTCCTCCTCCTTTTCCTCGTCATCCTCCTCCTCTTCATCCTCCTCCTCCTCCTCCTCCCCCTGGTTCCTGGAGGCTATTTAGTATTCAG